TATAAGCCAAAGTGTACACGTAACAAAATCCAAGATGGCTGCATATTTTTGCAGGGGCGCCCTCTATAAGCCAAAGTGTACAAGTAACAAAATCCAAGATGGCTGCATATTTTTGCAGGGGCGCCCTCTATAAGCCAAAGTGTGCACGTAAGAAAATCCAAGATGGCTGCATATTTTTTGCAAGTACGCCCTCTATAAGCCAGAGAGTACATGTAACAAAATCCAAGATGGCAGAATACATTTGCAAGAGCAAACAAGTGTCATATATATATGCTTATATACAAACCTGAATTTTCAAAGTCTTTTCCTGTTGTAACGTTTTTTCATGATCTTTCTTAATTAATTCAATTGTTTCAGTTTCATTTTTCAAAGAATTATTGTCTGTGATAAAAAGAAAATTCTTTTATAATCAATTCTAGCTGTGTTGTGCGACCGTGATGTGCCACGCTGTCAAATAATTCAAACATACCAGGTTAGACACAACAATCCAAACAAATAGTTAAATGTGGTTAAAAATAGATCACTGTTGAAAACGAATTTCATCACATTGAGTAACAAGGTTCCACGTCGCGAAAATATGAAGTTGAATTTATTCCAGAATTTTGATATAACAGACCATAAAAATTTACGAAAGATGGTAAGAACAAGGGGCTGCTTAACCAAATCCACGAACCCAACTGTATGAGGTCGTTGAATTCCACAATCTAATTCCTGTATTGTGAATAGCACTGCAAATCAGTTATATTTTGCTGAACAAAAGTGTACATCAAATGACATATCAAATAAAAAAGATGGTTTCCAAGGAAACACTGACTATGTGATATCCCCATATCGTTAAAGGAACACTTCCAGTTAAGCCTAATCTCACAACAAATTTACTTTCTGGATTAAATTAACAATGAATAACAAAAGATAGATTAACATTGTAAACAACATAAACAATAGTGTCCCATGATTCTTTGGTGCAATCCATGGGATTGAGCAGTTCCCCTTTAAATGATACTCTGCCACCAGTTGTGAATAGCACAGAGAATATAAAGAAATTTCCGTATCAGAAATGCGTTAGCTACGTCCACAACCAATCAACACTAACAAACTGGTTTTTAATGATTCAAAGCTTACCTTCCATTGCTTCTTTGAGTTTTTTGTTCAGTTCATTCTTCTCGCTAACCAAGTTATCCATTGTATCCGACAAATGATGCTTTCTTTCCTCCAACTGTAGAAAAAACAAAACAAAACTCAAACTGGTGTTATTGCAGACAATAAATAGGGCATTGACCCCAGCTCCCATAACATGTGGCGTTTCACCCTATATGCCACAACCAATGCCTAGAATTATTCAACGCACACCTAGCCAGGATTCTAATAATATCTCAATAGTAGATTTATGCAAACACTATATACATGTTAACCATAGTATGGTTAGGGAATTCTCCTATAATCACATGGTCTTCAAAACCACTGTCATACCTAGAGCAGTGGTATGTAGGGATTGGAATGTTACATAGTTGTAGAACAGCGAGTGGTTAATGAAGCAGTGGGGTAAAACTCATTCAGCAACTGAAAACTGCTCCTCAGTCAGATACAGACAAGAAATAGAACGATGCAACGACCATCTTCAAAAATATTTCCTGCAAGTCAAAGTTAAACGAATAGGAGAAAAGATGCTAGCTGAATAAAATAATAAAACACCGATCAAGAAAGAGTGAGTGCCCAATGCCCTCAGTGACCAGTATAATTAAAGCGTCCTCTGTGTTATAATAGCCAATTACTTGCAGGAGCGCCCTCAGTGTTAGAAACACTGATCATGATAATGAAAGCGTCCCCAGTGTTAGAATAGCCAATAGAAGGTGGGAGCGCCCTCACAAAGCAGAATGAGAGAAAAAAGAATGAAAGGAAGGAAGATAACAAAAGAGTGAAGACTTACTTGATTTTTTTCTTGTTCCAACTTTTATGAGGTGGAGATGGTGATAAGAATGTTAGTGGTAAGAAGAAAATAAAAATAAAAATGCAAGCTTGAGTTATGGCAGAGAGAGATGAAGTTAGGATGTAAAATTTTTTATAAATTACAATGAAAAAATTTTTTTTTTAAAGCTTTTCTTTTCTTTTAAGTTGAATCAGTTTGATTTTCATTTTTTTTTTTGTTCACACACAATCCATTGATTTGGTTCACAATGAGATAAGGCCAAGGGATGATCTAATATGATAATGATAATGATGTCATACAGCCATGTTTAGCTGCCGTGCATGAGTACAAGATCCACTCAGTTATTTTTTTGAATGTTGAAAGTCTACTTTTTCAGTAATATCATTTCACTGGAAAAACTTCAGTTTTAAACACTGCTATTTATTTGTAGACACATGTACATGTAGCAGACACGTAATTTATATTTTATATGAATTACTTCATTCAAACATTTTCTTGTGAACAACCAGTTTTCCACTGGACAACCATGTACCGTACTTATCCGGGTAAGAGCCCATGCCTGGACAAACGCCCACCCCCCACTTTTGACACAATAAAGAAGTTGAGGTCATATCCGAGCACACGCCCAGGGGGTCTTTTTCTACACAAAACAAAAAAAAAACTATTTTCAATTCTTTGACTGTTGTTGTATTAACAGTTGACTTTCTTGAAGTCTGTCGTGATACTTATGAAAATTGTTAATTGCGTAAAACAAGGAGTGAACGCAAAATAGCTGTGACAGCTTTCTGCCTTCAGGGCAGCTCATTCAGTCGTGATACTTATGAAAATTGTTAATTGCGTAAAACAAGGAGTGAACGCAAAATAGCTGTGACAGCTTTCTGCCTTCAGGGCAGCTCATTCACCTGTTGTTGTATTAACAGTTGACTTTCTTGAAGTCTGTCGTGATACTTATGAACATTGTTAATTGCGTAAAACAAGGAGTGAACGCAAAATAGCTGTGACAGCTTTCTGCCTTCAGGGCAGCTCATTCACCGCTGATTTTTTTCAGAATCATAACAGTCAGCAAGTCTATAAGAATAAATATTAAAGCAGAGACGGTAGTTCTCTTTTTGAAATATGTCGTGGCCCTAAAATGGGCCGGCCGTTTGGATTGTGCTTCCTTAGAAACGATTCAAGCAAATCGTATAAGGAGAGCCGCTAAGCAAGCCCGAATGTCGCACTCATTCGGCTTTAACATCGTCGACAATGAAAACAATGTTGCAACCTGGGAGAATGGTTGAAATCACGTTATTTTGGCTTTATAAATATTTTGTAGCAGCTTGCGAATCCATAACTGGGGCCAGCAATTTTGCAATGCCACGCCGAAGACTGCCAACTTTTTTACCATCTTTTATCACCGCTATTGCATTTCTGTCATAAAAACTATTCTTCTGTCGTTAGATAAAAAAAAAACTTCCTATTTCAAGTCCACCGCGATATCCATATAGTGAGACATTCCAACCGCCGAAACTTGCTGAATGATAACTTTCACC